CCACTCGTCACCCTGATCACTTTGGTATATATAACCCTATATCTGACTCTTTTAGTTTTAGGACTTACAAACAACCGTTATGTGAACAAAACTATAACACTCTCCTAGCAACTTTGTTGCGTGAGTATAAAAAATGGGGTTTCCTAAAAGGTGTGGAGCTGTTGCAATCGATCCAAATGGCTTTGCTTGATTTTTATATAGCTTTCTTTATTATATATAGTCTTTGTCCAGAAAGTAATAGGACTGAGTCGATTTAAAAAAATTTATTTAACCAATCGTTACAATTCTTTAAAAACTTTCAATATATGTAGGCTCTGAGCAATTAAACGAATACTAAGTCGACGGTACCATTGTCGGTGTTTGTCGAAGTCGCAGGTCTCCTAATATGCCTATATGTATAATTTATATATAAATTTGTATATGTACATATAGTATATATTTGTTTGATAAGAGGTAAGTCTTTCTTGAACTTTCATTCACACACACACACACACACACACACATATGTATTTAAATTTTTATAAATACTGGTATACTATAATACAATATTTTTACGGTTTCAGTGAATAAAGAGCAACCCTTTAAGGATAAATGTTTTTTGTACCGTTTTCGCGTTGACGAAGATGGCAGTGCTGGCAGCTACTCAACGACCGAGGATACTAATGCAGCTAATGAATATATTCGTGAGTCTCTGAGCACACTTTTCCAACGTGGGCCAGATGCAATACTGCGAATGATTTTACGAAAGCCGTAAGTACATGCATATGTACTATATATACATATGTACACATCAAAGTGTAGAATTAGTTGTTACACACTTACACACATTCATTTATATACGTGGGCTTGGACACTTCTAGCGTTGTGAAGATGACTGACAGCTTCATTATAAAGTTTTTATTATTTAACCATAAATTTCGAAACTTTTTGGTGAGTGAGCTGTAGGTATCAGTGTGGAATACTGTAACTTTGAAAACTAGTTTCGATCTCTAGCGTTGAAATTTCATTGATTATAATTTTTTAAATCAAATATGTACAGTTGAACTTCTCTAGCTCGAATCAACATAATCCACAAAAAAGCTTCGAGTTAGAGAGACTTCGAGTTAGGGAAGCTCAGCTGTATCTCCACGTCCCAATCAGGAAAAGCGCAGTAGCCAATAAACGAGGCTGGCACCGCTTATTACAATATACATATGGATATTGCTTCCTTGTATATTTGCTTTTATCTTTCTTCGAGTTTATAGTTAATAACATCGTAAATATAAACCCTTAAAATAATACGAAAGTATTCACTTTTACATCATTATACGAATGCATATACACTAGTTACCAAATGAAAGTATACCAATATGACTAATATAGCGTTTGTGGTCAATTTTGGAATATATTATATAAAATAATGAAAAGCAGGCGTACAAATTTGAAATAATTTTTCTTAGAGACGAAGCGTCAATAAATTCCAATTAAAATATTAGAACCAAAATTTTTTCTTTCTATTCCTGGAAAAAGATATATTAATTTATAATTTGTTACTCAAATACCTATGTAAATATAATATTATGTATGAATTAATAATTATTTATTTTAATAAATCTGCATTGAAATAACGTCTGCGAAATTTATACTTTCATTTGATGCCTAATGTATTCCTTATAGTATGTATGTTTTTGGACGCTTGCAACTGTATAACTTATAACAATAAATATTAATTTCAGCTCACACGAACGAACTCCTGAAGAACTTGAACTGATTTTTGAGGAGCTTTTACACATAACAGCGCTTTCACATTTGTCGACAAGTATTAAACGTGAACTCTCCTCCATTATCGTTTTTGAATCGCATGCACAAGCTGGAACAATACGTAAGTAATTTAATTGCTATTCGAACTTATTCATGGTCGGGCAATGGAACGTCTACTCCTTCGTCATCATTTGGGGAGTCGGGTTTGATATATCCTGGATAAGAAGGCTGGAGAAGTGTTCTCTCCATAATTTTAGTATGCTCCTCCCATCAGTTACTATTCTACAAGAGTATGCTCCAGTCTTGAAACCTTCTGTTAGTCGTCGCATTTCAACACTACCCCTGTCGGCCAGCGTATCAAACTCTTCATACTCTCTCTTTTCTGTCTGCAAATGCGTCTCGTTTCCCTCTTCAGCTCTCGGTATCTATCCCATCCCGCACGTGGCAGTCTGTTTTCTCTCCACTGCGACACGGCACTCCTCATCATATCAGCTGTTCTTTCGCATTTTCCGAAAACCAATGGTTTCGTTGCAGCTGTACGCAAGAAACTTTAAATGCCGTCCCACAGTTCCTTTATATCGTGTTGCTGACTAGTGCTCTCATAGAGCAGGAGTGCAAGTCCAGTAGTAAATCGTTCGGCTGTCTGTTGTGATTGCAGCTTTTCGACGTCGAAACTTCCTTGTGTTACCACAAGAGGCAAGTGCGTATATTGGCTGCAACAAGATAGTGGTTCAAGTCGATGTTAGGACATCGGCGCGTACGCACATCTAAAACACTGGAATCGTGTATTCCGTCTATCACAACGTGATAGATCTGGTTTGTGGCTTTTCGATCCGGAGACAGCCAGGTAGCTTGATGAATTTTCTAATGGTGGAATCTAGTACTATAGATAACCATATTTTGGGCCCGGCAGAAGTCGATCAGCCTAACCCCATTTGGAGATGTTTCATTGTGGAGTCTGAATTTACCGACTTCGTGCCAAAGATATTTTCTTTGCCCCGCCCTGGCGTTAAAGTCCGTAAGCACGATTTTGACATCGTGGCGGGGGCAGCTCTCATAGGTGCGTTCCAAGCACCTTCCGTCGGGAGCGTGGGCACAAATTAGCGATATTGAAGAACTTCACATTGATGCGGATTTTGAAACTCATATTTGCGCTTTTTTATATGACCAGTGAAGTAAATGCCATCGTATTTCTTTGACGGCAGTATTGTCAGGACGAGGACAACAACCAGCTGGGCAGCGGCACCTTCTCAATTAAGGGACCGGACATTACAGGTGCATGCCCTTAAATCATAATCCTTAACACGTTTGCAGGGTTCGTCATCAGAAGGGAGTTCGCTCATCCGATGCTGACTTCTTTTTTTTTAATGGTTGTGGTTTTTACGTGGTGGGTCCCACAGCGCACAACCCTGTGGAGGGGAGGTTAGGCCTTCAAAAGAATATGTTCTAGCTACCCAAAGGATACTTGGGCAAAGACCGGAAGTCGTGAGCTGCTTCAGCCTATGTAAAGGAATCGCTTCTGACTACTTCCAAATTAATGGCATTCAAATAACTCTCCTCACTTGCGTGAAGTTCTACACATGGCTCCATCCTTCAAAGTAATTATATTATAATATATGTATAAATTGCGGGGATATTTAATTTTCGGCTTATAAAATTATTTGTAAAAAAAAATAAAAGTTGATTGAAGAAAGTTGTGAAGTGTAGGGCTCCTTAATTTTTATATATTTCTTTGGTTACAGTATTTAATCAAGGTGATGAAGGTCGTTCATGGTATATATTGCTCAAGGGATCTGTGGACGTGGTAATACACGGGAAAGGTACCGTAGCTACTCTTAAGAATGGTGATGATTTTGGTAAACTCGCATTAATAAACGATGCTCCCAGGTAAGTTTTCCATTTTCTAGGATTTGTTACTTTTATTTCTAATACAACAAAGATAAAACAACGAAGGCCATTTAGCGAAGAAACTAAAATGTATAATAATGAAAGGGAATATCATTTCTTTGTCAGCATGTTTCAGCATTTATACTGTTTATTTTATTTCTGTTCGAAAAGTAAGAAATCTCCATAGCCTACTTGGAAAGACAAAATATAAATAAAACAATAAATATTATGTATATGCATACATATGTATATGTATGTATGAATGTATATCTATATATTTTGATGAGAACCAAGCCCGTTTGAATCCTCTTAGAGCAGCAACAATTGTCTTAAAGGAGAATAATTGTCATCTTTTACGCGTTGATAAGGAACATTTTAATCGTATACTGCGCGATGTAGAGGCAAATACGTTGAGACTTCAAGAACACGGCAAGGATGTTTTAGTGCTCGAGCGAGTGGCTAAGCAAAGAGGCCAGCATTCAGCATTTAAGTAAGTTCTAAAAAATTAACGATTACATATATGTATGATTATGACGTTTTACTGACAACTGCTCGTGATTAAACTTAAAACAAAAATCGTCTAATATACGTCATAATTAGCTTAGAGTTCAGCGAATTACCATTTGAGTCACATTAATATCTTTAAAAATTTCACAATTGGATGCTTCATAAATTTATTAATGGATTTAAATTTCATTTTAATGTTTACTTTCTACTATGAAAGAGCAAAGATTATTTTGACCGATATCTTCTGTTAAATAATGTTTAACTTTTCTTTGGCTGTATCGAAAGTCTAATATACCATTTTATATATGACCCACTTCCTTTGGATTAGTGATCAAAGTACCGCCGCCACAGTGGTATCATTAATAATAAATTGACTGCAATAGTAAAAATATATTGATTAACTCTTCACCTCTGATTACTACAACCAGGTATACGGTAATGTCGGGAACTCCATCAAAGATGTTGGAACATTTATTGGAAACACGGCTCGGAAATCAAGTGAGCGGTTTGGATCCTTTTTTGGACGATTTCTTGCTTACACACATAGTTTTCATGCCTGTTGTGCAGCTAGTGGATGAACTGGCCAATTAATATCCTTTTGCAAATAAAAACATAAACGCAAAGTATTACTACTTATACATACTTAAATAGTTACTATATATGGATTTTTTACTTTATTTATACAAACTCTTAATTCAGACTATTGTCGCGATGGGTTATTTTAGTTATTATATAACACAACTGTCTATGACCTTTTACTGACAAATGCTCGTGATTAAACTTGAATGGAAAGGTAGAGTTCAGATGAGAGTTAATCATCAGCTGAACAGACTGTAATTTCTCCAAAGTCCTGTCATTAATGGCAAAAGCTTTCTTATTTTCAGGCCACAGAATCAATCACATAGCCAAAAATTATTATATGAATTAAATAACTAAAAATTAAAGTTATTTGTTTTAACGCAAGGAAACAAATAGAATGTTTGGATTTCATACATACATATGTACGTACATATATACAGCTTCAAGCTGCAAAATGGATGAACACTATAATTTCAGTTTAAAAAAATTCGAACAGGTAGACAAAAAGTTCTTAATTATATAATGAACAGACAGGAATTACTAAAATTTTAATATGGATACGGATTTTGTAATCTTTTCTCTTTTTTAATTGGCTTATATTTCCACTCGTTTTGTTCTGATAATCTCTTTTAATATTTTAATAATAGTATAATGTTAAAGTTAGTATTCCTTAACTACTATGCACTTTTCATTGCGACTCGAACAATGGTTCGCAAACCCCAGAGGATCGGGAATATATAATTAACTTCAAGAAGCGCGTTGTACAGTTCATGCAAAAATGGGTGACGGCCGTGCGGCATGCAGCATTCGAGGAATCAAGTGTCTGTGATTTTATTGAGGTTCGACAAACATTAATATGTCAAAATTACAATTGTCTGTCCAATAAAAATAATAATATATTAACAAAATTCTATTTCATTTAAAAGGAGTTAGCAACTGAAATTGAGGCTGATCAAGAACTAAGTGAAGAAACTAGCATTATACATAATGTTCTTACACAAATGACACGTTACCAGGAGGATCGTAATCAAAACACTGGGCAGAAATGGAAGCTACCACCAAATGGACAACCCATATGTTTATTTAGCGGAAATGCTACGCCCTCAAAAACTATTATTCGTCCCGATGACGATAGTATGTTATATGGTTTCTTATCAATATAAATTCTTTCAATATGTAACTTGTTATAGTCATATTTCGAGTATACTGTGCCGATCACACATACTGCACTTTAAGATTTCCACTCCATACTACCGCCGGGATAATAAAAGCCTGTGCTGCCGATAAACTACAATTAAACCGAGGGCCTGAAGATCTAGTACTAATCGAAGTAAAATCGAACGGAGAGCGCTCAGTCTACAAAGATAATGATGTTAGTATTCCCACTAGCCTCAGCCTGAATGGTCGTCTTTTTGTCTCAGCGAAGGATCACCTGGATGCATTGGTAATAAGTGTATTTAATAATAAATAATTTATATAAAGTAAACACTTAAATTTCTTTCTAATAACTTTTTAGACACCACTCCCAGAACAAGAAGGACCAACTGAAGGCATAGACATTGATTTGGAAATATTGAGCACGAAAGAAATAGCGTACCAAATGACACTTTTTGATTGGGATCTGTTTTGGGCAGTACATGAGTATGAACTTCTGTATCAAACATTTGGGAGACATCACTTTGGAAAAGTGAGGAGAAAACTTTATTTCAATGCTTAAAATCAGTACATTTACAAATGAAAAATCAATGAAGCACAAGAAATAATCTTTTTCATCTATTAATTTTAATTTGAGGAGATTTGCTATTCAACCAAACAACGTACATTTCTATATATTTTATTAATTCAATAGTATATTTGTTGTGTATACGAAATTAATCGTTCTTTATGCATTATAAATTTATAAACTCGAATTATTTTTTTTACTTATTTAAGATAACCGCCAATCTAGATGTATTTCTTCGTCGCTTTAATGAATTGCAATTCTGGATCGCAACGGAAATAGTGTCTACCAGCAGCATGTGTAAACGTGTTGGATTATTAAGAAAGTTCATCAAATTAGCTGCCTAGTAAGTCAAAGTACTCTTAAATATAATCTTATGCTAACATCCGCATATACCTATAAAGGCCCAGCAAGAAAGTGCTTTAGTACCAAATTGTTTCCGTTTTAAGGCACTGGAAACTATTATTTCGGCTTCAGCTAACAAATTTAACTTTGCGAAATAATGAACTATTTCCTCGCCCGATTTTTTTATAGCTGAGAACTAGACCTAGTGTTGCTAGGAAATTATAAATATCGTTAACCCAGGAAAACACGGTGGATTGATATCTTATATAGTTGCAATAGATTTATGAACGAAGTACAAGCTATTGGTAGCAAAATTCCTCTTAACAATTCACCACTGGACGCTATAAATATGTATATATTTATTCAATCAAATTATTCGATATCGTTCCAAATTTATTTACGGCAATACGGATTTTGCTAACTTGTCGACTGCTTATAGAGCGCACAGTCAATAAAGAATGGTAGACTCGGTAGGACCGGCCCTGCGCTTTTTATACTCTTGAAATATTTTGCTATAAAGTATTGTTCATCTAAATTTTGTTGTCAAGGCAAAATAGGCTTAGCAGAGGCGGAGATTTTCGGATTTGCCTAAAGCTAAAATTGTTCGGGCCGGCCCTGCCCTTTTTATACTCTTGCAATATTTTGCTATATAGATGAACAATATATCTAACTCAGACTGTCAGTCTGTCGTGCAAGATGAAAATTAAGCAAAAATTAAGATATCGTAATGAAAATTGGTCTTGCGTTCCTTAGGAAAAAAGTATGAGTTTGTAGACGGGCGTAATCGGACTACTGTCACACCCATTTTATAATGTTCCAAACCTAACCAATAAATTAATATAAACCACTCCCAGTACAGTTAAAAACTAGCAAAAGTGTAATAAATCAATAACTAAATAAGCCAGAAACATTAGCTTGGGACGCAACCGACCGATTTCAAATAAAATTAGTAGGTGAAATTCTTCATAATGTCGCCATATGACCAACAATTTCTCAAATCCAACCCAAACTGTTCAAACCCCTAATTACCGAATAAGTGTACCACAGTATCTATAGTTGACTTTTGACCGAAAAAATTGGTTAATGAATGGATATATAGTCCAATTGTAATTGAGAGAGTCTTTCCTTGACAATAGATATTCTGTGTATAAAAGATAGGTTGAATCGGGTCAATACTTCCGGGTGATTTTATACCGCATATATCGGGCAATATTTATATTTTAATTATGATATTCAGTTTGTGGGAATAACAGGGAGCTACTGTAGATTTTTTAGCTTTTTTCTTATTTCGTTGACCGCTCTGATATCTGCGAAATCACAGAATGCTCGATGCACAATGTATTAAGATGTCATCTGTTGACTTTTCTATGTTGGAAAACTTGGATGATAAGCCGCGAAGAATGTATCAATCGAATGATATAAGATATTGAACAAAACCCACTGTACTAGTCCTAAATTGATATTGAAGCTATCACCAACTCGGAAGAATTTGGTGCAATTGTTCTAGTTCTTGATCTCTGTATCCGTCTATCCAGTTTGCGTTTTCCTGCAAGAATATATATGTATATGTACTACTGTGATCAAATTGAAAGGTGAATTGTTAATTTATACTTCGCGTGATTTTCGAATCGATAAATTGGTAGTACTGTACTGTACTGTTAGTCGCATCTATGCTAAATTTCACGTCAAATTTAATTTTTTTTTTTTTGATACGCGTGGTTTTTTGAGACTCTCTTCGATTTTTACTATGTCTGAGTTTATTGAACAAAGAAGTGCGATAATGCATGCTGCATTGGTTATTCGTGATCATTTTGCCACATTTTCAACTAATATCGTGCCGCAACTACCGCATTCCCCCGATTTACCGTCGTGTAACTTCTTGCTATTCAACAAATTCCCATGACCACAACGAGGATATAAAAGCTAAATCGAAGAAGGCCCTGATGGCAATCACGACGGAGGATTTTTCCAAGTTCTATGATGACTGGAAAATTTGTTGGCATAAGTGTATTGCAGCGTGAGGGGATTACTTTGAAGAAGTTGAAATGGGCAAAATTCATCTTTCAATTTGATCACAGTAGTATATAAATGTATCCGATATATATTATTATATACTATATTATAATAAATTATACATAGCTGCAAGGAATATCAGAATCTGAATGCTTTCTTTGCCATCACTATGGGCCTTTCAAATATTGCCGTTTTGCGCCTCACGCAAACCTGGGAGAAAATACCTTCGAAATTTCGAAAACTCTTCCAGGAATTCGAAGCTCTCATCGATCCTAGTCGCAATCATCGTGCGTACCGTGTTTATGTAGGCAAACTGCAACCGCCAGTAATACCATTCATGCCACTCTTACTGAATGATATGACTTTTGCCCATGAAGGTAATAAAACTAGTTTAGAAGGTCTAGTTAATTTCGAGAAAATGCATATGATGGCGCAGACTATGCGCACCATTCGCTTCTGTCGTTCACGGAGTTTAGGTAAATTACTTTTATGGGATATCTCAATTTGATTTTTAAACATTTCTTTTAATTTAAGGACTGGAGCCACCATCACCAAAGAGTGAGGGAGAAGTCCGGTCATACATTAGTTGCCTCCGCGTAATTGATAACCAGCGGGTTTTGACAGCTATGTCACAAAAAATTGAACCAATACGCAAAGTATAAAGTAAATAGTGTTCTCGACACAACTCTTACATTACCTGTTAACTCATATCCATATTTATTCAAGCTTTTTATTAATTATGCTTTAAAGTAAAATACTAATACGTAACACTAACAAATATATAATACCTAATAGGGAAATTATATGTACATACATATGTGCATTTGGTACTTATTTAAGTGGTGCACTAAAGCTTAAATGAGTCCCAATGTTGCATATTTATAAAGGCACTATCGCACAATTAGTAAAAATATACATACATATTCTTCTTCTTTACTGGCGTAGACGCCACTTACGCGATTATAGCTGTGTTACATACATAACAGAACAGAAGTAAGCTTAGAATTTTCGTTTTCATTTATTGCAAACAAATTAAATTTTATTTACAATAACCCAATATAAATCTTATAAAAACCCTTCAAATATATCTTATGTTTGATGTATGGTATATTTACCTATATTACAGCCAAATTGCTTTCATTTTAAAGTTGAAATAATTGTTTTATTTTTAATCAAAAACATTGAGTTGGAAATGCAATATACAAAAAAGAAAGTCAACATATTAACGATTTTCTGACATTTTAAAAAGATGTTCGCCATTATCGTTTATGACTTCTTCTAGACGTCGTGGCCTGGAGTTTACCAGCGAATGAATGGTGCCAATTTTTTCTATTCATCGATTATGCAGCCCCTTAATTCTTGTGAACTGACGAAACTTGTGTTGTTTGCATTGACCAAAGGTTCTCTACTGGATTCAGATCAGGGCTAAGAGCTGGTCAGTTGAGGGTGTCAATTTGTTTGGATTCCAAAAACTATTTAGATTTCTTCGACCGATAAATCGCAGCGTTATCCTGCTGAAAGATGAACTGAGGATCTACTAAATCTTTTGTGAGCGTCACCAGAAGTTGATGCAACAGTTGCAACTCTGAGTTCATTTTGGTAGAGACGAAGCATATTTTAGTGGCTCTCCTATAGTTTAAACCTGTCCAAACCATAAGAAACTCCCGCATCATGGTTTACTCGGATTTCTCCTCTTTCTTCGTCTGCTAATTGGTTTCCGCACTGAATTCTTGCAAAGCACAAAACAATCAAAAAATATGTATATAAAAATAAAAAAATCTTACTTTTACTACATTTTTTCCACACAAACGGTTTCAGTTTTCGATTGCAATATCATGATTGCCTTTATAATTATTTCGCACTGGCTTAAACCAAAATAATATTATATTTATCCGTTATTCTGGATAAACACCATCAAAATAGCCCGAGGAAAAAACAAATAAGAAAAATTATAAATTGCAAAGCAAATTATAATGAAAGTTTGTCACAGGATTTATTTGTTATTGTCTCAACATTAACTTTATTTTTACTGTTTTTTTTAAGAAGTTTTTTATTTGTTTATTTTAACTAAACACAATGTTAACAACCGAACTTTATAAGTAAACGAAGTTTTAAAAAATGTTTGTTTTGTATTATTTATGTACGTATTGGTATATAACATATTCTTTATCGGTATTTTGTTAAACCGTTTGTTAACATAATATAATAAAATAACTATATACATAGATACATACATAATATGTACACTATTACTGTACCGCGATGATCTTCGTTTCGGTTGTGAAAAAAAGGAAAACCCCAATTTTATCTGATATACTTAAGTATGTACATACATACGTATTCGATGCATTTTGCTTTTGTTACATTTTGAAATTTTTCGGCAATCATATCGTCCAAAATATCTTTTTTTCCAATTTTCACAATCTGTACACAAATGCTACCACGAGTTTAATCATTAAACTATTAAATATTTTCTTTAAGTATAAAGCTAACAATTAAATCTACAAATGCATGTACCAAAATTAAGAAATTAAATTGCGCATTACAATAATATATTTTATGAAGAATTTCTGTTAATTTTTTTCTTTATAATATTTTGTTATCATGAAATATGCTGTCTCTTATACACATCTAGATGTGTATAAGAGACAGATACTATACATTCGTATACATATATTAAAGACTTTAGCATATACTGTAGAGCGATATCTTCGTTACTTACAAATGCGTTAGTTCGTAATTACATAAACACCAAAAACCAAAAACTATAAAATAAATAAATATACTTATTGACTCTTATACACATACCAGATGGTACATAAAAATGTATGTTAGAATTATCATTTAATTAAAATATTTACCACCATTTATAGCTGTAAGAAATTTTATTAATATATGAAAAACTTTAATAAATCTACGTAAGCTACTTTTCTTCGATCTATTAAAATCAAAATATTAGGGAATCACAAAAAGTCTGTAGATTGGTAAGCAATTGTCACACTTGTAAATTACAAAGGGATTAATAATTTCATATTCTCTTCAGAACATTTACAAAACTTTTTATTCTAAAGCAATTTATGTTTATATTATATCAGTACTAAGAGTCTTAAGTCTTAGATTTACAGAAAACCTTAAAAAGCCAAACACCCAATGGTTTCTTAAAAACGAATTTTGTATTTACAAATATGTAAATTTAGATCATTTCAGTTTGCATTGACATTTCTAAATATAATATATAACACCAAACCGTAACACACACCATAGTGACAATGAAAATTTGTATACAAAGGCCTTTTATTACTTTATCTGTAACAAATTTCAAATGTCGTCCATTTACCATTAAGTACTATTAACCAATAATAAATGTATTTACATAAAATCAAATACTTAAATTTCTCCAAGAAAGTCGGATAATCTCTAGTACCTATGTATATTATTATTTAAAATACAAATTTACAAAAAGCTTCAAGTTAAGGTAATTTACTTTTCTCTCGAACAGAGTAATACTAAAATTGTTATTTAACATCGCTGATTTTTCTATATTTTATTAATATATTCGTACACGCCTTTATACAAAAACTAAACATTTATTACGAACAATTTAGAGTAAATTAGCATTAAATTATGACAGTATAAAGATAGATGTTAATGTGATTAGATTTGACAATCTTAAAGTTACATAATAAGATTAGAAACTACATTTTACTTGTAATAATCATCGATAATATATAACGTATATTAATGTGTCCCAAAACTATTGCAACAAAAGCGCATTCGAATGTAATATATTCAAGCATATACATAAAAAATTATGCTGACTGTTGTATACTTCAAATTAACATACCTCAACTACGATCCAAGAGACATTAAGTACCAAATCAATTGAAAAATATGCATATATTTTCTTTTTAACCGAAAAAAACTCATATAATCGAAAGATAACTATTTCGAGTTGTTGTTATTGTTGATGTAGCGGATTACATATGTATGTATGTCCACTCCATTTGCGGGAAACTCAAATTACATACATCTTTATTTCGACGGAGTTGAAACAAATGGAGAGGGTGTTTAGATGAGTTGGCTTAACTTGGTTCAGTACATATGTATGTCAGAGCCAGTTTTAAAAAAGTGGGAGGTTATCCTACTGCAATATGCAGAAAGAAAATGCGCGAACCAATGTGGTATGCCCGTATGGGTAACACAATAACATACATACATATGTAGATATGTATGTACATGTCGGTATGTCTTAATTAATGAATGACAATGCACCTGCTGGTCTTTGGTACACATTTGATTTAATAAGGCATTCTCTTTTAACATATGAGCATACATATGTACACACATATAATTAAAGATTTGTAATTATTCCTTTGTTAGAAATTAAAAATTTATTAAAGATACATTTATATGTAATATTTTATTAAAATATCTCATAAGTCAACCGGATGTACACAAATCATTCTATTGAAAAAAAAACCTGGTCCAAAAACTATTAGAGCTACACCTATCCCTATAAGAACAGTAACAGTCATCTTGCTGGTAATTTGACAGTCAAAGCTGAACAAATTTTGTCAGTGCACAGAACAAAGTTTCTATCATTTTCTTAAGAACCTTGTGGAAAAACTGATGAAAACAATCAACTGCTCATTCTCATGCCTTTTTCTGAGTCATTGCTGACTAATAATCCATCTAAGATAAAAATTGTCCGTAATGCCTGAAAAGCTGTCATAGCAGCAACTTGACAATTATGACTATAAATCCATAAATCCATCACAAGTAAAAATTCTTAATTCTTCAAAATATGGAATTAAACATTAAATTATTATGAAAAATAATTTTGCTGATCCCTGCGTTCGGCTTTCTTCAATTCTTGGATATTTCAGAATACAAAAATGCCTATATAAAACTTTACAAATACTATAATATTTTTATTTGAAACTTATTTAACTCACTTATTTAAATTTGAAAATTCCTCTCTTTCATAGAAATGTATATTTTGAACACAAAAGCTACATAGGTATTTCGAAACTTCTCTAATCTCCTAAGGAAATGTGTGCTGCCTCCTTGGCGTACAAAAAACAAGTGCCAGGAAGCACGAAAATGAAGACACCCACTGAGAACTATGTAACCTTACATTTTGCGAATATTCTTATTCGTTCGGGAAACAAGCAATTCCTTGCTTTTATTAATTTTAAATATTTTACGAGTAACAGAATTATTTTTGACCCTAAATACTTTAACTTTATCGTACTTAAATAACCTAAACCAGAAACTGTAATTCAAAATAGCAAAATGCATTCATAATCAAAAAGAATTTCGTGCATGGAACATTTCCCTTAGCGATACAGCCATATGCGATTTCGTTTCCTCGCTGTCTCGACAATGACTAAACGAATGAGCGTTAGTGTACGTCTGAAGCTAGCTTGTTCAATAGAAATGCAGACCACTGTTGTCCATACATACATATGGGTGTACATATGAACCTATGTACCTACAAATGTAAACACGTTTCAACCAGATTCACTGTAAGAAGAAAAACTCCAATTAACTATAAGCAACTAAGCATAGCAGAACAAAAACCAGACCAGATAAAAAACTTTATGATATCCAAATGATTTAGAAAAAAGCTTAACACTAAAATAAAATCGAGCAATATTGTATTTCAAATTTTTATAATAATTGTTTGTTCAATTTACACGAAATCAACACTTATGTGAATATATGTATGTATGAACTTATACAATAATGATACAACTACATATGTATTTCTTTAAAAACTTTTATTAATAACGTTAAAAATAAATTTCCAATAAATATAAAGGCATCAAATTTCTGTTTTTCATTAAAACACCTAGTCAACGACACTGACCAAACCAAGATGAAAGTTATTAGACTTACATACATATATGTATATGTATACATATATAAAAATATTAGGCTACTGTATTTCATATTTGTAGGTTACTTTTGGGATTAGATTTCTCAAAAAAGATCGGAAATTATCTTGGAACGAACATTTTTTAAAGCATATTTGTATAAAATTTAACCAAATGGTTATATTAATATAATAATTTTTCATATAAATCACCTCTACTCTGAGAGTACCTTAATATTATGACAGTGAAACAAATTATCGACCAGCAGTTATTTTTCATTACAGATAGAAAAAAGTTTTGCTTTGATACATAATTTAATCAATGTACTTACATATAAAAACCCGGGCATACAAACAGGTGAAGACAATAGCCGATGTCATTTTTAATAATACATTAATAGGTTATCGAAAAAGTCTCTTCGTATTTCTAATCAAACTTCAAATTATTATTTTTTTAAATTTATAATAATAAATAAATAAAGAAATATGCACCTTTTTGGTCGGCCACTTGCTGCCATTTTTCCGCTAGAGTTCATCAGGAAGCCAGCGAACCATTGTTGTGCTACACGAACTGATACAACATCGTCTCCGTACTATTCGTCTTGACTATTTTCACTCAATTTTGAACAGCTGTAACTTTTTTTCAATTTTCCCGAATGTAATTTTATTTTTGATAAATGAAGCTTAAAATCTCACCTGTCCAACACTATATGGTATAATACAATGTGATTGGTAACACTGTAGATATACGACTTCAAGTACATCTATTGACAAAATACGAAAAGATTTTATCGACTACCTAATATTTACATTCCCATGAAAATAACTTGAAAGGCGCCGGAGAACTGAGAAACCACCTTTCTAATGGTTTAAGGGTAAGCGCCTGAAATGTTCGGTCCTTTAACTCTGGAGGTGCCTCTGCCCAGCTGGTTTATGTCATTGTAGGAGTAAGGGCTGACATCACCACCGTCCAAGAAATGTGATGGACGGGACAAGGACTGAAGCGAGAAGGTCTTGTGGAATTTACTACCATGACCATGTAAAGGGTGGGCAAAGAAGGTATCTTCACCCCGGTGGATGAGCGTCTAGCCACAATCCGCATCAAAGCGAAGTTCTTCAACATATCGCTGATTTGAGTGGTTGGAGCCCACCTATGCCCCTGCCCCCGCCACGATGTCAAAATCGGGCTTGGCGACTTTTACGCCAAGATAAACGAAGAATATATCTTCGACCCAACGTTCGGTAAATTCAACCATGATGAAACATTCGCAAATGGATTAAGACTGGGTTATGTAGTACTGCATTCCAGCATAGAAAAATTCATAAAGCTGCCTGGATGTGCAAGTGTCGTGTAGCAGTAGAGAAAAAACAGACAATTTATTGCCGTCCGCGCTATTCAAATACGGCAGCGAAAATCTGATAACGAGCATTCATCATCTTCTTTGTAGAATATAGTCAAACGAAAGCATGCCCGACAATTGGAGCTTAAATGTGCTTTGCCCAATCCACAAAAAGGGAGATCTAACAGTCTGCGTCAACTACCGTGGGATAAGCCTCCTCAACATCGCATATAAGGTTCTATCGGGCGTATTGTATGAAAGATTAAAGCTCCTGTCAACAAACCTATTGGACGTTATTGGTGTGGCTTTTAAACTGGAAAATTAACATTTGACCAAATATTCACCATGCGCCAAATCTTGGAAAAGACCCGTGAAAAGAGGATCGACACACACCACCTCTTCGTTGACCTCAAAGCTGCTTTTGGCAGCATGAAAAGAAAATGCTTACATGCCTCTATGTCTGAATTTGAGCAATACCAAAAGTTCGGTCAGGAACGTTAAAGACCTCTAAGAGCCGTTCGATACCAAACGAGGTTTCAGACAAGGCGACTCCTTATGGTGGGACTTCGAGCTGCAGAGCACGGGTTCAGCTTCAAGATCCAACGCAACAGTTGTTCGGACCTTGCAGGCAATTGAGAAGTAAAATCCTCTCGCGACGAACAAAGACCAAACTGGTATAAGTCACTCAAAGACCAAGTGGAGTAGGATCTGACGTAGGCAGTGTCTACGCCAATAAAGAAAAAAGAGAAGTAATAAAAAATAAACTTGAATTTATTAGAAATAATCTTAAACTAACTCGAAATTTCAGTCGAATATAATTTTTCAATAAAAGGTCAACTGTTGTTAATATTTTATTACAGTTTTGATATTTTCCATTATGAAAAATTATAACTGAAAAGCTAGATGTGTGCAAAACAATTTATACGAATGGAGCAATTCTTCTTCTTTCTGATACCTATCAGCTACTGGCACTTTGAAAACAAACCTTATATTTTTATTCAAAGACCTGCTCCAAGACGCTCTCTGCTGTCGCTCAACGCGAAAGACTTTCAGTGAAAATAATTGAATTCGCCTGATTATAATCTTTAGATCGGCTTGTATAAATACTTTCATTCCATGTCGAAAAGTGTATCGCAATAATAACAAATATTACGTCGATATCAACTTGCCTTAGCCATAAAAAAATTGTGAAATTGTATCAAATGGTTTCTTTAGCGCCAAGAATTAAACTTAGCAATGGTCAAGAGATTCCATCAATCGGTCTCGGCACTTGGCGATCGCATGAATCAGATGCAGAGCGTTCGGTAAAAGATGCCATAGATTTAGGTTACAGACATATCGACACAGCATTCGTATATGAAAATGAAAAGGAAGTTGGAAGTGCTATCAATTCAAAGATTGCTGAAGGTATCGTTAATCGTGAAGACATATTTGTTGTCACAAAATTGAGTGGCATTCATCACGATCCACAATTAGTGGACCATGCTTGTCGCAAAAGTCTCTCCAATCTGGGATTAAGCTACATCGATTTATATCTGATGCACTTTCCTGTAGGTCAAATTCACAAAGGTGACGATAATGTACACGGAACATTAGAACTCTCCGATGTAGACTACCTGGATACTTGGCGAGCTATGGAGAAGTTAGTGGATTTGGGCTTAGTAATCGGAATTGGTCTTTCTAACTTTAATGAGCAACAAACACAGCGCATATTACAAGAGTGTCGCATACGTCCTTTAGTCAACCAGGTGGAGTGCCACCCAGGCTTTAATCAAAAAAATCTAATTGCGTTTTCAAAACAATGTGATATTGTTATCACAGCGTATTGTCCTTTAGCACGGCCCAAGCCAGATCAACAGTGGCCACCATTCCTTTACGATAGTACTGCAAACGATTTATCTAAAAAATATGGAAAGACACCAGCACAAATATGTTTACGTTATCTGGTACAATTGGGCGCTATACCGATTCCAAAATCGGTTTCCAAAAGTCGCATAGCGGAAAATTTTGCAATTTTCGATTTTGAAATAAACGACGATGATATGAAAATAATTGATGACTACAATACCGGTCAACGTTTGATACCTTTTTCTGGTATGAGTCACCACCAGTATTTTCCATTCAATTCCAACGACGAGTAGCACTTTATATTTTATTATATATGTATGTATATATGTTTGTTTTAAATAAATATATACTTATATATTACTTATAGACATATGTAAATTTTACACAAAAGTTTGTTTTTTTTGCACAATTATACATTGTACATATGTACATAAATATATAGAACTATTGGAAATTGAAAACACACCACTTATATAAAATATGTGCCCCTCGACACAAATAATTTATTTGTACCCAATTTCATGCAAAAATTATAATTCGCCGTTCTCATTTTTTTATAACAACCGAATAATTTGTTAAAACGCTACCCGATCAACGTTGAAAAAATTTTCATAACCCAATTCGATATAAATATAATATATATGTATATAGTCAATGAAAATTAAGTTTGAATTAAAAAAAAACTGTATGGGAACGTTCGAGCAAGCAAATAACTGCAGCAACGACTCCTATTGCACAGTGTTGTTTTCCTGCAGATACTCAGCTGGTACTTATATTGCAATATTTTTGCATCAAATATGATGCCTTAAGATACTGCCGCAGTGATCGACTCGAACCGTTCCCACGACAGTCGGGTCTACGAAAACCGGAACGGACCCGGATTTTTATCCGGCCAAGGACTGCCAACTCAGCAGAATTCTGCCGTTACAACAACAACAACAACAACAACAACAACAGACTCGAACATCCCCTATACCTCTACAGCCGATGACTTTGTTCCTCGAAGTAATCGCGTAATAAAACACAGATTATTGATTACAAAACCCGGCCCACTTCACTAGAATCTTTAAAGCTTTAATAATATAATTGAGCAATTTTTTGTTGAATATTTTATTTTTATTACACAATTTTACATTTGAAATTAAATGCATCAATTTGAAAAAATTAGAATTGATTTCGAAATAACTAAAATCTAAGCTTTTTCAATGAAAAGAAAAAGCTCTTAAACTGAGCTTTAGTCTCTTATATTTTTATTCGTTTTATTTTATTAAAATACTTATGATTTCTTTTAGATGGTCTCATTGCTAAACATTAAGTTATCTGGAAAAATGGATGCGCCGATTTTTTATATATTATATTTTGTTGTTTATATAAACCGTACTTTTAAAATTTTTTAATAAGACATTTTTCTTCAAAATGGTAGGTTTCGTGTTTTGTTTTAAATATTACAAAATTATTACCATCGATCTTCTTAGTATTTATTACTGGTAGTAAAATGTAGCAAAATTCACAAATACTTATTTTTTGTTGTGTTTGGTGGTTGTTTATTTTTTTGTTTTTATTTTACTTATTGTATCTCAAAAACAAAAAATGGAGACAACAAAATCTATACTAATGCATTCAAAAATATTGTTTTGATATTTAGAAATGATTTTCTTACTGCTTGCACTCTCGTGCTTGTGCATATGTGCGTGTATGCATGCATATATTGCAGATTTGTTGCAATTCCCACTTTTTAACCCACAAAGACCTCTCCTATTTTAAAACCTACAGTTCCCAATTTCCGTTCTTTTTTTAATTCTTAATTATCAGGATCTGTCAAATATTTTTTTCCTCCAATGCATAGTGTGTAATTAGATTTCTACATTATTCGTTTACTGCTAAATACATGTTTACAATATATATTAGTTTCATTTAAATAAAATACGATTATCAATTAATAATCAATTAATCATGATCAAGAATTCAATCAAAAAACATTTGATGACGCTCGTTTAAAAAGAGAAAATAAAAAAATCGGGAGTGTGTGGTTTGCTTTGTTTTACGTGTAATATGCTTTGTATAGGCTTGCTCTTTTAGAGCAAAAGGCATTTGGTCTTCTTCCTCTTCTTGACTTGTAATGCAGCTCTGGTAGCCGTTTCGAAGACATCTCTTACACCTTCCTTAGACTTAGCTGAACATTCCAAATAAGCAAAGGCATTGATTTTCTCAGCCATAGCACGACCCTCCTGTGGCTTAACAGGCTCCTGTTTCATTTTTGCTAGATCCTAAAAATCATACAAAAATTACACCTTTATTTGAACAAATTTCGATTTCATAACATACACGAATAGTGTTGGGATCATTTCGCAAATCCTTTTTATTGCCCACCAAAATTATGGGAACATTTGGACAAAAATGTTTAACCTAAAAATTTTTTGGAATTTCATTAATACGCTATTACTAAGAAACAATAGATTAACCTCTGGAGTCCATTTTTCGGGAATATTCTCTAATGAATCAGGCGAATCCACCGAAAAGCACATCAGAATGACATCCGTATCTGGGTAACTTAAAGGTCGAAGTCTGTCATAATCTTCTTGCCCAGCAGTGTCCCATAAGGCCAACTCAACCTAAATTTATGGTAAAAAATGTTAATTAGTGCAAATATTATTATTTTTGCTATTAAAATCCTACGGTATACTGTTTATGTAGCAATGTATAAATTAAAATATATTAGTAAGAAAGTATGTAAAAAATCTTAGATATAAGTTTAGTTAGGTTTTATTTCAAGTATATTATTATATGCATATACATAAAACATTTTGTGGCTCATATTTTAGATACTTGACTAGTTTACAGACTTGTTTTAAAACATTTACTAAATCTGCTAATCACATTTACAAACTTTATAAACGAAAAAAAAAAACTTTACTTCATTTTACTGTGTTTGATATATTTTTTTGTATACATAAAATATTAGAAATTTATAAAATACTTTTACTTTTTATATTTATATTTTGATATTTATATTCCAACTTACTTGTTTACCGTCAACTTCAATATCCGCAACGTAGTTTTCAAAAACCGTTGGAACATATACCTCGGGAAACTGATCTTTACTAAAAACAATTAGAAGACAAGTCTTACCACAGGCACCATCGCCTACAATCACCAACTTTTTTCGAATCGTCGTCATTGGTTCTGCAAAAAATGACATCACAAAATAAATCACTTTGTTGGAAACAATAATTCTACATATGCTTATATAGTATATGCAACAGTTGATATTTTTAACTTTTTCTAAGGTTGTGTACAAGTAAAATCATTTTTATTGGGCGGTAATATTTTGCGGGATGATAGGTGTTACTAGTAACTTCCATTATGTTTAGTATTAATTATTAATTAAATCGACAACATTAACACTAATGTTAAAATAATTTTATATTATCAAAAACATATTAGAGAATTTCCTGAACTCATTAAGGATTACAAGGTATTCATCTAACTGTTCGACGATCCTAAATGGCAACCGCTGCAAAAAAAATTTTTTGGAACCCTCCGCGAAACGGAACCATCGCGGACGTCATCGCAATCGCCAGCACATCTAATATCACAATAATCACCTTCATTATTACCACAGCTCAGCAATCATTGCCATCGCCCGTTCGCAGTTTCTTATGTGGAATTTTTTCTAATCACTCACCGCACCCCGAAATAGTTGTAGAAATTTATTTCATCTATTGACAATTGAAAATTTGCTTCTACTGTTTGAGGTTCACAATTTTCACTTACACAATTTGAAGTATTTTACAGCCGCACACTCGACAAAATCGACTACTGGGACAAAAAGAATGTGAATTTCCCTATTAAATTGCCTTCCTATCAGTATTTTCTTTGTAGGCAAATTCCTGCAAAATTAAATTTATTTTAAATCGTTTTCTCCGATAAATTTATTACTTTTCACACGAATAAAAATGATGATGAACAACGCCTTTAAAACACAAGTGACGATTGAACCCGATGGCAATTCAGTAATGCCAATCAAAACACAAAAATAACCCAAAAAATTGTAAAATTATATTAACAACCTCTTGCTATTCAAAGGAAATTGATACATATAAAGTTAACACGAACTTGACCTACTCATTTAAATGAAATTACAAAAATTAATATAACAAAAATGGAGAAAAATTAATTTCATATTTGCAAAAAAGTTTGGAATATTCACCATTTTTTTGACATTGCAACATTGAAAAATACGAACTTAATCGATGCAGTGAAAAGAGAAAAATATTATTTATAAAGCTGAATGTTACAAGAAAAAGTGAAACGAATATAATACAACGAAAACAAAATGGCACCTATACGGCTAACAAGGTTGATTATTAAGTGAAATATCAAAATTAAATATACCTTTTGTTAAAGACGAAATCAGCAAACTTATCGAAAGTATTTAGATAGATTGTCTAATCATGAAAATTTACTGGTAATAAATTTACTAGACAACATTATGGAAGTTAGACGTTTACAACGAACTCACATTTTGGATCTTCCATATAGATTTTAAGTAGCTTTAAAAAGTTTAAGCAAATAAAATAATTTAAGAATATATTGCTTAGTCTCAACGGAGAACAATCAATACTGTCACTATTAATGTATTTAAAAAATTTGCTGACTGTCAATTGATAGATTGCAAATAAATATATATTTAAAAAAAAATGTTTTCCAAAATGTTCAATGAGCAAATGTATTATATTCAGCTTTCTTTTTGACTAAGGTGTTGATATATATCCTCATATTTTATTATAAACAAAATATATAAATTTCAACATTTGCTCCTGTCTCTTATACACATCTAGATGTGTATAAGAGACAGGTTGATATATATCCTCATATTTTATTATAAACAAAATATATAAATTTCAACATTTGCTCGTTATATAAATTTCTAAAGATTTCCATAAGTATGTATGTTAAATATAAATATTCTAAAATTACTAACATATAGGGCTTAGAGGGTTAATAAAATAATATAATGCAGATATTTTGAATTTTAATGACATGTGACTTTATCGTATTAATTAGCAGAAATAAAAACGTAAAATTTGTATGTAGAAACAATGACCATCAAATTTTAAACTTTGAATTTGCAGTACGAAAGCGTATTGTATTGTATTGTAGCATTTGTAATTTCTTACCTGTAAAATATCGTACAGTTTCAAACGATTTTTTTGTGGAGACTTTACAATTTCATATATATGACATCTGTATATTTTCACCTTTACACCGCACATGACAATTCGCCTTTTTATTCACCTTCTCCCTCATACATTCGTAAACAAGTACAGAGGGCAACAACAAAGTATTTCCCGCCGAAACGTAGCATCTGCTTGCGGTCGACTGCAATCTTTGAGAATCCCATATAAGAGGAGGTAGGCAATGAGTTTGGCTTCAAATAGTTTTCTGACGTAGAGTAAATTGTGTTAGTGGTATAGTCGGGCTGTGTTTTGCAATTGAAATAATTTTACAAGTGTATTATATTAGTCATTACCACATTAATAAATATATATAAAATGGCATTCTCTGGTAAAGAAAACATCACAGAAAATCTGGAAAAATTTTCACTGAAGGTAAGAGAAATTTGGGATGTGAAACTAAATAAAATGATCTGTTTTTTGGTTTTGTATTCATTTCTAATTGTTTATTTACAGAGTCCTAGAAAAATTTTGACAGACGTGAATAATATTCGTCAAATGTTGATCGGTGATGAGAATTTAGCTTCCAAACAGCAGGATTCAACATCAGTTGAAAAAGTAATGTTAGCTAATAAACCTGCAGCACCATTTGACCCATCAATTGAACCATTACTGAAAGAAAATCCACGTCGTTTCGTAATCATGCCAATTGAGTATCCAGATATATGGCAAATGTACAAGAAGGTATGTATGTACATACTTATGTAATTTAAATCTAGGATAGACGAGTAGATAAATTTATATTAAATAAAATACGTATAAATCGATTATAATTATCAGCTGTTTCAACAATGTGTATGTATATGTATGTATGTACATATATAATTCGAGGTAGATTTTTTAGTCGGTGTTGACGTCGACGTGATGAGCATGTTTAAACATGTTCATTTTCAAGAGAAAGGTGCAGTTTCGCACCATTCTTATTTGAGACAATAAGGGGGAGCAATTTTCATCATTAACAAATACTTATACATGATATGATTCATAACTTTAACTCATTGTGGTATACTAAACCATATGTAGCACGTATAATTTGGCGCGCAAAACATCTATATGAGTTGGCGCAAAATAATTCCCGCTCGCGCGTTTTATTTGATAAGTACTTATCGCAATTTGTTTTTTTTTTACGAAATTTATGTAAATCTATTTTTATTGCGAAAAGTTGTGTGCAAAACGTTACAATAAGTTCGGAAGAAAAATAAAAAAAACTTCAGTTTTATATAAAGCTATTTTTTATTACCTTTTATATCTTGAATTTTATCTGGAACTGTGTTGTAATTTTAATCGTTATAATATAAGCTAGTTCTCACAAACTTATTTACATGTATTTGTTTATTCAAACTTATTTATTGGGCCATATTTATATATTGCAGGCAGAAGCATCGTTCTGGACAGTAGAGGAAGTAGATCTTTCTAAAGATATGGATGATTGGGCACGCCTCACTGATAATGAACGACATTTTATTTCCCACGTGTTAGCCTTTTTCGCCGCATCTGATGGTATTGTGAATGAAAATGTAGTTGAACGCTTCTGCCAGGAAGTCCAAGTGACAGAGGCACGTTGCTTCTATGGATTTCAAATTGCGATGGAGAATGTGCATTCTGAAATGTATAGCATATTAATTGATACATATATTAAGGACTCGAAACAAAGGAATTGCTTATTCAATGCTATAGAGACAATGCCTGCCGTAAAGCGTAAGGCAGATTGGGCGCTTGCTTGGATTTCTTCGAAGTCGGCCAACTTTGGTGAACGTGTAATTGCATTTGCTGCCGTTGAAGGTATTTTCTTCAGTGGCAGTTTTGCTTCGATCTTCTGGCTTAAGAAACGTGGTTTAATGCCAGGCTTGACATTTTCCAATGAACTAATTTCACGAGATGAGGGACTTCATTGTGACTTCGCATGTTTGATGTTCCAACATTTAATACAAAAACCAAGTAATGAGCGTATTGTTGAAATAATTTCTGAAGCTGTTAAAATTGAGCAGGAATTCTTAACTGACGCTTTGCCGGTGAATCTAATCGGTATGAATTGCAAACTAATGTCCGATTATATCGAATTTGTGGCTGATCGTTTGCTTGTCGAGCTAGGAGTGGGGAAGGTAATATTATATCCATTCAGTCGCAGTAGGTAGTGATAATTTTTTTGATAATCTTTTCAGATCTACAACACACCGAACCCTTTCAGTTTCATGGAACTTATTTCATTAGACGGAAAAACGAACTTCTTTGAAAAGAAAGTGGGTGAATACCAGAAATGGGGTGTAACTGCTAATCGTATGGATCACGTTTTTACATTAGACGCTGATTTCTAAAGACGACTTGTATAACTATAAGATATCGCTATAAAAAAAATATTTTTTACCATAAGATAAGATAAGATAGAATTGATAAATGAGGAATAAAAGCCCTAACAGTAAGTAAAACAAATCACCAAAAAAAAAATTCATTGTTTAATTAATTTCATTAAATTATAAATATATCAAAAAAATTATGAGAAATTTCGGCGGCCAAAAACTTAGTAGTGTAACAAATTAAATCCGAAATTTCAACAAAAAGGTAGTAATTTTTTTTTTTACTTTTTTCAATTTGGATATTGTCTTTTTATGAAATTAGTATTTAGTTGCGTGACCTTTATTATTTAGTATTGAAGCACAGCGTGGTGGCATTGAGTCAACGTGTTTTTGGCATCTTTCGCTGGGAATTCGACTCCTATACGTTCTTCACAGCCTCCAATAGGTGCGTGGTCGATGTCGACTTATATCGAGTTACTGTCTCCTTGACATCAGTCCACTAATTTCTATTTTCTATGAGGTTGATGTCAGTGGACTGTGACGGCCATTCCATTACCTTGCCATTCGTTTCCTCAAACCACCTTTGAGCAACTTAAGTTGTGTGCTTGGGATCGTTGTTCTGCTGGAACGTCCAAACAAGCAGAATTTTTTTACTGGCATACGGCAGCATGGTTTCTGGAGTATTTCGACCTACGCATCATCGTCATGTTTTCCTTGATCTAATAAATGAGTCCTACACCTTGCCAAGAAAAGCACGCCGAAACCATGATACATACACCTCTATGTTCTACCGTTTTTGTTGTATATTTCGGCTGATATTCGGTAATTGGGCGCTGGTCGACGCGATCCTTTACCGCAATACTTAACAATCTTTGATTCGTCCGACCATAAAATGTTCCCCCATTTTGTCGAAGACCAATTAAAATTTCCTTAAGCGAATCAAAGTCTTTGTTCAACATGTGTTCTAGGCAATAACTGAACTTTTTATGGAGGGGGCCCCCAAGTCATAATCACGCACGACAGCGTATAACTTCAATACCTCTGTAGCAGCCGCAAATGGAATCTGCCTTTTGTATCTGACAATGGAATTGACTTCTCTTACTGTCACTTCATGCTTTCACATAGTTTATTCCTTGAATGGTACTTGAGAGCATTACGTATCATTGTGGGAATAAGAATGTAAACTTTGACAGTTGACAGGATTGGGTAGGTTTTGACCTTTTGCAATTAGAATGACTGGAACAACCAGATTGAAATTACACCGAAAATGTATGTGAACGGCGGAATTTATTGCCGCCGTTCAAGATCGCTAATAAAAATTTAAAACAATGAAAATCAAAACAAATAGGAAATTTAAATATATATCATGAAACGTTTTGTAATTTGATGCATAATAGAATAAATTTTCTATTAAAAATGATTAAAAACATTTATTAATTGAGAACTAACAGGCTTAATGCACCTTATTAAGTATTGAAATATCGTAAGTCAGTTGTTTTAATAT